ACAAGTAAGATTTGGCTTCCTGATCTTAGTTCAGATAGTAAAAGCCCTTTTCATTTTGCGATTTTTGTTGTTGACACTGTTTTCCTACCGCTTTGTTTTGTATGTGTCCCTACTTCCAGCTTGGCATGGATCTCTAAATTTTGATCTCAACAATTACAATCCCTCATTGTTCAGGATCAAGTAACCACTCAGTCTCATATTTGCCCTTTTAAAAAGCTGAACCTTGTGAAATTAAGACTTCCTAAAATGACAGATATGATCCTATTTATGGCAAACAGAAGACAAAGGTGCTCTCTCTAACTGGTCAGAAATTCAAGCAGAAGCACAGGAAATGCTGAGAGCGTGTGGCACAGAGAGAGTTCTTATGGATGCGGAGGATGAGGTGGTGCATAAGGAAGGTCTGTGAACACAGCTACTGCAGCACAAAGACTTAAAATCCAAACTATTACACTCAACTCAAATCCACTGTAAAGAAATATTAACTTTTTTCCTCTAGGAAAGCTTAAGTGCAACTAAAAAGCAGAATTTCCAAAACTGCTTTGCAAAAACGCTGCTTAACACAGATGTTCGTACTTATGTAACTTATCATCTATTTTATATTATCTGGAATTTAGCACATTCAAGAACAAAGTCTTTAGTTCACACAGCAATAAGAGATAACACATTACACACCTTAACCGACCATGAAAAGATTGTTTTATTTCATGAAAATATTCTCAACAGAGAACACTATCTTAAACAAAGCACTTACCATTAAGAAATCAACATGTGCACAAAAAGAGTAAAATTTATTGAAAAATTAAAGTTTTGGGACAATTCACATGTTTAAAATTTAAGAATGATTTAAACTGTGCAAGTACAAATGTCTGTCCTATTGTAATAACCCATATACAGGTTGCACTATTCCACGTGAAGGAACTTGCCTCCTAAGGAAGCAAATCCTGCTTTTAGAAAAACAAACAGTAGCTTGAAAAGAACAGTTAGTCCTTACAAGAAAACCTTAAACTTTGCCCTCTGTGGCTGCTAGCCAAACACACATAAGCACTCAGGCTTTGTACAGAAGACAAACACAGCCAGATCACATTTCCTCCTCATTGCTACCTTTCAAATACGAATAGCACTAGGATTTAAAACTACTTTATGTAGTCTGTCAGTATTGAATAATGTCACATTATATAAATAACCCTGTAACGAGATTCAAAATCTAAACTTCATAGTTTACTAGCCTCAAAAGTAATACACTACACATCAGCTGTGTGACAGGGGCATAGTCGATCTTATGAAGACATTAACTTTCACACAATTGTCATTCAGCTTTAGTATAACTAGTATGAATCAAATAACACTGGGAACAATTATTAAAGCAGTCACACAGCTTCTAAAATATTGCTTAAAATCCAACAATACACAGACCATTTCACGTTCTCTTTCTTCCCTCAAAACAGTAAAGAATCAAATTAATGAAGCTTCCATTGGTAGAAATATTTCCCCACCCCACCCCACCCTCCTCCCTATTAAACACCACTAAGAACTTAGTTAAGATACAAGCCATTAACAGAACCACAAATGCGAGGCAGGACAACATGAGCAACAGGGCACTAATGACAATTATATTTACAAGTATAAACATACAGAAATCTCCATTTTACAAGTAAAAGTGCACATAGATCATTACAAAGTTTCACTAACTTTCATCTGGCTCAAACAAAAGCATCACTTGGAAACAGACTATGATTGTAATAATCAAATGAGAACATGGTAACCCCAAATTAAAAGACAAGGGGGGCAGAGGTCCATAAAACTTCTCATAAAAATACTGAGTAAAGTCAAATGGACTTGAACATGTCTTTAGTCTGGTGCATAAATTTGGAGATGCACCGTCAAACATGGTAGAGCTCTAAAAGCCACCTACCGAGGCTACATCGCAGCTGCAGCAGCCCTGGGAGATAAAGGAGGTCACACTGAGCGGACACATAAAGCCCTTTGTGGGATACTGTAGTGGTAGTGTTGGCAATCAACAGATTTAGGCACTCTAGTTTAAGGCAGCATTTGAATGGAAGCAGCTGACTTCTGACAACAGTCCTTTGTCTTGAGGTGGTGAGTATCTTCTGTGTTTCCTATGCCAGGATTTCGGTGCTGACTATAGATTCTTCCCAGACTGAGGTGCGGAAGATGTATCACGCTTCAAAGAGTTCTTTCAACTGGGCTGTAGGCTAGAGCATAGATGTTTTCTTTTTCTTATCATAAATACTTCAGGTTCACAAACTAGTTCTTCATAATGCCAAAACTGGAATGTTTGCAGTGGGGAAGTTATAGCAGCATACACAAACAACAGGATGAGAACATTAGTGCTGGAAATGTTTGACAATGTGATTTGCGCTACAAATGTAAAACACAACTAAGACTTGGACAAGAACAAGGGATTATAAACACATGCCTGAAAAACCTAACTTGCTCACTCTACACATGCAACAGGATGTTAAGCAAACACAGAAGTGGCGCAGGCAGACACTGACAAATGGCCATGGTTCTAACAGACAATGACTCTAAAAGTCAATTAAAACAGAGCTGGGATAGAGATGGTGCTGGTGGGACCGCCAAATGTAAGACAAATTTGACAGCTCTGCATTCTTTCTGATTTGGACATCATTAAAATAAATGGAAAAAAGGTTAGCCATTGTTAGCTTTTTTTCCTTCATGTAGATAATTGTGAAAGAGGAATTTAAGGACTTAATGATTTTTTAAAACAATGTATGGAAATGCTAATGAAGTTAGTAAAAAATAATAATGTCTGCATGCACTCATGCATCTTGCTTCTCTCATTCTCTCTCTCTGAGCCTGACAACTCTAACACCCTCCCCCCCAAAAGCAGCTGCATGTAACCTCCTTCAACATCTTGCCCATTTCCTCAGAAACCCTCTTCAGGAACCTGCAGTCCAGGAGGAAAAAGAAAAGAACAATTACTGAAGACCTTTGGTAAGACCAAAAGGGGTGTTCAGTTTAAAGTGTCCGTCCTAAATGTCCCTAAAATTATTTTATAGTCAGCTACTGAAAACACCAGAAAAATCTGTAACACAAGCAAAATTAAAGACAAGGCTTGTAGCTCCTTCTTCACTTCATTCCCAGCACAACTAGCACTGCACAATCCCTGATTGTACAGTGCTACCAACAAATGCTTGTTGAAATTAAATGGGGGAAAAAATCTAACATAATTGGTGACCCAGCTAAAATGAGGAAATGCTCTAAACTGTAGTACAGATAACCTCCTCAGCCCACTTAATCAAAAGTTTTTTTCTTTTCAACATAAAACGTGCCAGTACTTCTCCCCCAGTCAAGATTTTTCTATCTTAGCTTATTTTAAATCTATTTTCCTATTATAACTGCTAAGAAATCACTAAAGTGATATTTCCCAAAGGACATTTTCAAGATAAAAAATACAAGCATTCGATTAATTTGAAAGGGAGCTTGTACGTTCCTGAAAATTACTAGTAAGCCTGAAAATATTATTAGGTCTCAAAAGAAAGCCATTCTATTCACCTAAGAGCTAGACCAGATTGATTTATTTTGGAAGTCTCTTGATTTGCCTACAATAGATTTTGTGCTAGGTACATATTTTCTTCTTTTAGGAAACCAAAATTAATAGGGAGGAAAATGAAAATGGTTATATTCTTATTTTATCCAATTAGCCAACTATTACTTCTCTTCTTGGAGACTGTAGCTAAATTCAAACGCCTATATAAAACCACTCTTTGGGAATCAGCTTTTTATAGCTTTTCATAGCAGTTTTAATTATTTGAATTTATTGAGTTTTCTGAAGTGTGTGTGTATGTACATGTTTGGGAAGGGTGCCTTTTATCTATGGATTCCTGCCCAATAGGTCAAACACCATTCTTTATAAGGCAGAAAAACACAAATCCTTCACACAGACTTAAGCAAGACATAAAGCAAAAGGCATCAATTAAGCTCCACACCAACATCACTCACGTTAAAGCATCAACAAGAACAGTTTCTTGTGGTCATATTCACATCTTTAAGATCGAGCATTCAGCTCACATAGTGAACAATAAATCTTGGATGCCCTTTAAATTTTCTGATGTTATCCCACCCGTTGAGTGTGTTTTTGTTTTAAGTCATCATTCCTATGTCACGAAGCTGCCTGGTTAGTTTAGATGTAAGTTACTGCACCTTTACTGTTTTTCTCTAGAGTTACATCTATGTATGATGTGGGAACGTAGCCTTCTTCACCATTCTGTCTCCGAGCTCTTGTCCATCCATCACCTTTGTCCTCCTCAATAATGTATAGAACTTCACCTTCTTTCATTGCCAGAGTACCTTCATTGTGTCCTAGATGAGAGTTTTCATAGTACAAGCATAACTTAAACACAGCAATAATTTCATATAAAAGTTACAAGTAACAACACACAAAATAACATGAAACTCTACTAAATTTCAATGTGGTTAGGTCCACTGACTCTCATTAGCAACATCTCTACTTTGTAGCGATACTTTGTAGTTTACCCAACACTTTCATATACATTGTCTCATGTGAACTCCCAGGCTGGCATTAATATCACCCCCATGTAACAGATGAAGTATAAGCCGCAATGACATATGACTTGCAAGGGTCCTCTAACTGATTTCACTACTTCAACTTCTTTCCCAAACTTGAGTGGTATTGCTATCTAAAAAATCATGAGATGTGGATCAGGAAAATAGTAATAGTAGTAGTAGTAATAATAATAATAATAATAATAATAATAATAGTAATAGTAATCTGAGCTCCAAGATTAAGCTCTCCCTGAAGTCAGCTAATACAACCCTTCTTTAGCTTAAGACAGTGAGAGGGTGGAAAGAATGTAGCTTAAAGAGAGAGCAGAGAGAAAACTACACTCTGGTGATGGTAGAAGAAGAATGCTGATAGCCACAGAGCACAAACTTTCTTTAAAACCTCATCAGCCTCAGGGCTCTTTCCTCTCAACCCCCAACCCTTCCAACCTGCTTAGCAGTAACTATTTGCACAAATGAATCTTCATATAACATATGCTAAATTCCTTCTCTAGTCTCTGGATTACATTATCTTATTTAATACTAAGCAATATCTTATTTAATACTAGAGGTGCAGTGCACAAAATTCGTGCACAGGTAGGGTCCCTAGTGGCTGCCAGCGGCTGGCTGGAGTCTCCCTTCCTGGGCTGCTGGCTGGGGCCTTCCTTCGTTCTGCGCCACCCCCCTGGTGGTCAGCACACATCATAGCAAGTGATCAAACTCCTGGTCAGTCGAACTCCCAAGGGGACACTTTGCATATTCAGCTTTTATATATATAGATTTTCTTAGAATGATGAGTAACTAAAGACTTTACACAATTTTAAAACCAATAAAATTGGTGGGAAAGGGCCTTAATTCATATACCATTTTACAAAACAACTTATTTATAAAGGTGTTACTGGGCTGCTCTGTGATTTGAGGAATAGAATTTTTCAGAATCCTTTTCCCACAAGAGAGGAAAGGGTGAATAAAAGTCTGCAGGAGAGGACCACAATGACTTCCTCTCTTCACACAGTTTGTCATCCAACTCTTGCAGAGGAAAAGATGGCAAAGTCAGAAGCTACCATACTCTCTCCTTCCCTCATCTGAAAATGTGGCCTACAGAGTCAGGATATGGTGGCATTCAGATATGCCATTTGCCATGTGCTTGTCTCCCAATGTTAGCAAGTTACAAGGAAGAGCTTGAAGTGGCATCCGCCCACCTTCCACTTCCTGGGTTAGGATACATGATTGAGCTGCTTGAACTTTAATGAGTACATTAAGCATTAGTCACATCTCTGGGGGAAATTCTGTATCAACCAAAGTTGATAATTAAATAATAATCTGTATTAGTATACTGATAAATAGGTAATTTTCTTTTAATGTCATGTATGGAATGAACATCTTTGTATCTGTAATACAGTTAAACAAAAATATTCATACTAATGAACTAGGATTATAATTATCTGACAACGTACTATTTAGCTGAGGACATTAAAGTAGATAGCTCATACATGTAGACTTTAGAAACCAATTTTATCATATATAATGTATTAGAAAAATCATACCATCAAAGGGGTAAATAGCTTTGCAGTGTCCAATAGCAGGCAAAGGATCGTCATCTTCAAAGTCATCATCAAACTCATTGTGGTGACCATGCTGTTGGGGTGGCCCCCGGACTTCTTGGTTTGCATCATCAGTGTAACTTCCCTCAGGACTATAAAACATAAAATTATCTCTGATCAAGTATCACAAACATGGGAAGCTTTTATATTGTCTCAGGATCAATTCAGAGAATTAAGTATCTATGATATAGTTCCAAATTAAATCTTTATTTTCTTAAAACTGACTCTATCTATCTATTTATCTATCTATCTATCTATCTATCTATCTATCATCTATCTATCTATCTATCTCTTCTAAAACAAAATGAGTCTTTGTTGAGTTTCCTGAAATTAAAAGACTATAATATTCTAGACACATAGCATGTATTCAGTGAATACCTCTCACTATCACCAGGTCCAGAGAAAAAGTAAAGATGTATTAGATACTTGTTTTTCATCATCCTGGATTTATCACATCTCTTTTGCAAGAGGACCCTAAAATTCCTTAGGACCCACCCAGACCTGTGTTCAGTTAAAAGGTTTCAGGTGGCTTGTTCTGTCCTGACTCCAGAGGGCTCATCTTAACTCAGCACTTGTATGGCCAGAGTGACGAGCTGACAAGTAGGACTATAACCCAGTCAGATATAAGAGATGCACAGAGACTTTGCTTGGGATTGCTGAAAGAGAAGCTCCCTTTTCCACTGGACTTGAACCTGGAGAAATATGAGCCTACAGCTTTGAAAGATTACCATATGTAGCCTCAAAATGAAGCCAAGACAGTGGAAGGCAGAACTGTGAAGTGGAAAGAGCAGAGGCCTGAGGATGTATCATTTGAGCTCCAAGATTAAGCTCTCTCTGAAGTCAGCTAATAAAATCCCTCTTTAGTTTAAGCCAGTATGGGCAGAGTATTTCATTCTGTCACTAAAAACCCAAAGACTCCTAATAAAGTTCATTTGCAACTAATCATGTTACCAGGAAAGTTAGTAACTTAGAAAATAAAAAAATAAAAAACTCAGTAATCTGAGAACCAAGATGGCGGCATAGGTTAACGCCGGAGTTTGCTGCCTCGAACAACCACTTCAAAAGTGAAACTAAAAGACTGAACGCACATCACCCAGACCCACAGGAACGCTGGCTGAGTGGAAGTCCTACAACTAGGAGGAAAGAGTAACGCATACGGACACTCAGAGGAGGCGCACTTCTGA